AATGCAGGGCAATCGTTCCAGAGGTTCGTGGACGAAATGACAAGAGGACTTGATTTTTGTTATTGTTATCTAGACGATTTTTTAATTTTTTCAAAAGACGAGACAGAACACAAAAACCATTTACGTATAATTTTCCAACGCTTAAAGGACTACGGTATGGTCATTAACGTGTCTAAGTGTGTATTTGGAGCCCAAGAAGTGTCATTTTTAGGTTACCACATTTCCGCGAGTGGCACCAAACCGCTAGACACTAAGATAGAAGCGATTAAAAAATTTCCCGTTCCTACTAACATTCGTCAACTACGGCGTTTTCTAGGAATGATTAATTTTTACAGACGTTTCCTACCGCGCGCGGCTGAGTTACAAGCGCCATTAAACAAGTTATTAGTTGGAATAGTAAAAAACAACCAACCGATAACATTGAAAGATGAGTCACTCGATGCGTTCGAGCGCTGTAAACAATCCCTTTCAAACGCTGCATTATTAGCGCACCCGGATTGCCAAGCGAAACTCGCACTTATTACCGACGCATCGGACACAGCTATCGGCGCTGTATTACAACAATTTACAGATAACGCGTGGCAACCGCTTGCATTCTTTTCGCGTAAATTAAGTCCATCTCAGGTTAAGTATTCACCTTACGACAGAGAATTGTTAGCTATTTATGAGGCCATTAAATATTTTAGGCACATGTTAGAAGCTAGGCATTTTATAATTTATACTGACCACAAGCCGATCAGTTTCGCATTCCACGAAAGGAAGAAAAACTGTTCACCTAGACAGTATAGGCATTTAGATTACATTGCTCAATTTACGACGGATATTCGTCATATTTCCGGTAAGGATAATGTTGTTGCCGACACTTTGTCTCGTGTCGAAGCATTGGAGCATCCTCTAGACTTAGAAGCCTTAGCAAAAAGTCAGGCTAATGACCACGAACTGCAAAAATTAATAACTGAAGGTTCGTCGTTACGTCTAGAAAAATTAACATTACCCGGGTGTCGAACCCCATTGTACTGCGACGTAAGTACACCGACATCTAGGCCGTTTGTAACAAAATATTTCCGTAGACAGGTCTTCGATTGTTTACATTCGTTGAGCCATCCAGGCGCTAATACAACAGCGAAGTTAGTCGCAGAACGCTACGTATGGCCGAGTGTTAGAAAAGACTGTCGTGATTGGGCAAAAACCTGTTTAGATTGTCAGCGCTGTAAGGTTTCGCGACACGTTAACGCACCGCTAGGGACATTTAATTTGCCCCGCGCGAGATTTAAATATGTACACATCGATCTCGTAGGGCCGTTGCCGTTATCAGATGGTTATCGATATTGTTTAACTTGCGTTGATCGCTTCACTCGATGGCCAGAAGCTATACCGATCGCGGATATTACAGCGGAGACAGTAGCTAAGGCGTTGCTTTCGTGCTGGATATCTCGTTTTGGCTGCCCGACGGACATCGTAACAGACCGCGGCAGACAGTTTGAGTCAGCGTTATTCCAGCACCTCGCGAAAATAGCCGGATTTCAGCACAAGCGTACGACTGCTTATCACCCAGCAGCTAACGGTCTCGTTGAACGCTTCCACAGGCAATTAAAAGCGTCCATAATGTGCCATGCACCACAAAAATGGACCGAGTCTTTGCCATGGGTTTTGTTAGGCATTCGATCATCGTTCAAAGAAGACTTAAACGCATCGTCGGCTGAACTTCTTTACGGGGAGCCTCTAAGGTTACCTGGCGAATTTTTCGACCCATTAAGTAGCGGTACAACTGATGTCAGTGACTTCATCGCTCGATTGCGAGCTTTTGCGCAACAGTTACACCCGACACCAGCCTCGCGACATGGTAACAAAAGCGTTTTCGTTTATAAGGACCTCGCCAATACCGATCACGTCTTCCTGCGTGAAGACGCGGTGCGGGCGTCATTACAACCTGCGTATACCGGTCCTCATAAGGTCATGTCTAGGAGTGACAAATCTTTCACTTTATTAATTAACGGGAAGGAAGTAACAGTCTCCATTGACCGCCTCAAGCCAGCGTACATTTTATGCGACAGTAACAACAATGCCGCAACTAGTGACGATACTGTGGCTAAGGAGTATACAACCCGTTCAGGACGTAAGGTGAAGTTCACCGATTTTTATCGCCCTTAACCAGGTCTCTGGAGGGGGGTGATGTAGGTGACTTCCTACATATTCCCAAACACTTCACAGTCACACATACACGCACATACATCACACGCATACACGCACACATAAACACGGGTGCATGACGAGTGGTCGACGTCACGTCGATTTGTTGACCTCTGATTGGCAAATTCGAATTGCAACGCACAGCTGAGCGGGGGTCACTGACCGGTTTGGCATACGCGCGAAACGACAGTGGAGTTCTGCAGCGCCCGCGACATACCACGCTTTCAATTACGCAACTTGTTACTTTGTTATCCGAATTTGTGCATTTCTCTTTCTCCTACTTGTATTCTTCTTCTCAGTGTTGTACTCTCCTTCTTACTATTTGTTGTGGACTGTGAGTGATAATAAACTGTGTTGTGAATATAACTGTGCCTCATTTCACCTGTCGCCGTACTCACCCTTCACATCATCATCATTCACACCTTCCCACACCGGAGGTGACACCCACGTTACCCTTCCCCTTCACTCCTACGCATCATGGCGAGACACGGGCACGCTTGCGCTTTCGTCCGCAGTCGTTCTAGTAGCTCTCTAGGCGAGATTTCTTTTGCCTATTTTTTACTCCTTTAGTGGGTTAACAGGATTATGTAAGACTGTGATTCGGAGATTCCTTACTGTTCAGCGCCCTGCGCGGTCGCCATCACGCCCTACTATAACGCCGGCCCTGGTTTTTATGTTAATATTAAATGGTACTAAGATTCAAACCAATGATGATGACCTAGAATGTTGTGTCGTTTAATTGTGAAGTACCTATGACCTTCCAGTTTCATCATCAGATTAGCACAAAGTCATCATATTGCATTGTCGCATGTTTTACACATGTATGCAAATTTTCAACTCAATCAGTAACCGGTGAGTTGATTTAATTTGCAAGATTTGATGGCAAACATCGAGACAGCTGAAATTAAATTAAAGTTAAACTGATATAAAAACGGCTAAAACACTCACGTATATTTGTCCGGTGGCGGCACCGACTAGTTTCGAGCACATCGGGGGCCCTTCATCAGGATGAGTGGTCAGGATGACTGAGCGACGGGCCGCGTTCGCGAAATAATACCAGTAACACTCATCCTGATGAAGGGCCCCCGATGGGTCGAAACTAGTCGGTGCCGTCACCGGACGAATATACGTGAGTGTTTAGCCGTTTTTATATCAGTTCAGTATTATGTCTCACGAAAGTTTGAATAATTTAAATTAAAGCTTTTATAAATATTGTTTCAGTGTATAATGTAGAGTCACAGAGAGTGGTGTTGCCAGATATAGAGCAAGAATTACCAGAGAACGGAAGAAAATCATTTATTATTTCAAAGAAATCTCTATCCGCGTTCAGACCTCAAAATCCATCGATAAAACGTATAAGAAACTTCAAACATTTTCACACGCTATTAACTGAACGATAATATTTAAGATTAATAGTAAATGAATAATAAATTATTTTTTAACGATTTTTTGTTTCGTTTCCAACACCTAATACAATGTCAATAATTATCGCCATTATCATGATGTAATTTCATTATATTATTTGTAAAAGAAAAAGACTAGTAAATTAAACTTGTAAGATATTTTGTCAATCTAAAATGCGTTAGATGGCGCTGCTTTTCATTTTACGCTGGTAATCTAAAAGTAAACTACAGACCACAAGATGGCGCTAAAGCAATACTAAAAATTAATGGAAAGCTAAAACACTTTCACACATTTACAATGCGTTAAATCGATAAAGGTGGGGACGCACAAAAAGGATGGTCCCCTTTTTATACGTCTCCTTCGCGAAATACATCTCCCCATCCCATCTTTTCCTTATTAGAAAAAGACGGAAAAGAAATATTGCCCATTATTATCTACAAAAAAAAACCAGTCGAGTGCTATAACTAACCTATTTATCGCTCCAATTAGTCTTAACAATCAATTAGAAAATAACAAAAATAAAATAAACAATGAAAAATAGTTTTATAACTAAAGATTTGATCTCATAGGAGCATTGTACTCCGTTCTGTTGACATGTGGCACTACTTCTTTTGTGTTCTGGTAAGTTATTTAATATTACTATTATTATAAAGGCGAATGTTTAGATGGACGGATGTATGGATGTTTTAAGGTGTCTTCAGAATGGCAGCATAGATGTAACTGAAATTTGGTACACATGTATACATTCTGGAAGAACACATAGACTACTTTTCAAGATTTTTTTAATTCCACACAAACGGAATCGCGGGCGAGAAATAGTTAATAATAAACATTCGTCGCCCATTGACGCAAAGTGTTAGGTTAGGGCGATGTGAGGCGCCAGACTGCAGGTGCCCCTTAAGATACTCTATCTTTAGAATATTACCCCCAAACACAAAAAGAGGCGCCGAAAAATGTCGCCCAGGGCGCCGGAAATATTACAACCGGCCCTGCGTAGCGATATACTGAGGGCACCGATGACCTTGAACCACCAAAATGTTAAAAAATACCAAATATTCTAATTCTAATAATAATAGTCATTCGTAACTCAGGGTAGGCTCCGAGCCCCTCAGTGGGGACGTATAGTGAGCTGATGATGATGATGCTAATTAAATATTTTTTATTCCAGTTGGCATCCTTAAATCATTTGGCCAATGCTAACATTGAATCTAATGTCTTCAACTATCCTAATGTGAGTATAATATTATAAATATTAAAACTAATTCGATCTCGCTGAAATTTGGCATAGATATAGAACATAGTCTGGAAGAACACATACTTACTCCGCTGGCGCATCGACTCAAAGTGGGTCTTGGCCTCCGACACAAGAGATCGCCAAAGTCGCCTGTCTTGCGCCTTCTCCTTCCAGTCCATCGCTTGTAGCTCCCGCAGATCCATCTCTACGGCTTGTTGTTTTCCGTGGGCGAGTTGTCAGCCCGCCGCACAACCCCCATATTGCTGGAGGACCAGACTCTACTTTGGTCAGCGAGCCCATTGGGCTTAGCCGGGTAGCGTAGCTAAGCTGTACTACCGACCACTCTTCCATCCGCCACCCGGAGGACGCCATACGCCGTGAGGGCCAGCGCGGAGCAAGAACACTTAAGCTACTATTTTAGTTTTTTTTTAATTCCGCACTGATGGAGTCGCGTACAGCTAGTAATTACAAAAACAGGAAACATACAAGACTGAGTTAATCTTATATGTTAGTTATTATAATTATTATAATTATACGGTGTGTTTAGCTTCAAGACGATGTCTTCGAACAACCCGTGAACATGATGGCACCTGCAAGGAATCCACATGCGAAGGTACATCACATCTCTGTAACTCTTACTAATATTATAAATGCGAATTGTTAGATGGATGGATGTTTGTTTGAAGGTATCTCCAGAACAGTTGAATGTATCTCGATGAAATTTGGCATACATATAGAACTAACAGTGGTAGAGCCCACTTTAACATCTTCGCACGAATTGTCCTGGCTCGCCCGGTGAAATGCGTCCCGGAGGCCTAATTTAGTCCTCTTTCCCTTCCCACTTTTTTCTTATAAAGGAAGGATGGGAAGTGGAAGTGGACTTTCCGGATGAGAGGATGCATGGGATGGGAAAATATTTTCTTTCTGTGCATCCTCTCCTCCGTCGATTAAAGGTAGGCAACGCACATGCAATTGCGTATGTCTATGGGCAACGGTCACTTCGCTATTTCAGCGATTTCAGGTGGCCGCTCGCTCGTTTGCCACCTTGTGTTATAAAAAAAATCTCCATAACGGTTGAATGGATCTCGATGAAATTTGGCATACATATAGAACATAGCCTGGAAGAATAAAGGCTACTAATTTCGTTTTTTTTTAAACCGGGCGGACAGACTTGCGGGCGACAGTTAGTGTTATAAATGTTTATAACATGAATATACATGTTTCACCAGCGGAAAATAACAAGTAACAATTTTCTAGGATGAAAATATTCAAGTGGAAGAGAAGAACCGTTACTCTGGCATGCCATATGACTGGCCATCAATGGATTCCTTCTTCAGTAACGATGATGCCCTCCATGAATACAATCGTATCAAGAGACGAGCTAAAGTAAGTTTTAAAATATATAAACAGCGACTAAAAGTGCGCAGTGTTACTAAGCAGTCTACGTTTAATGCCTGACATCAAAATCTCTGTATAAAACATCTATCCTTATCCTTGTCTTTGGCAAAACAGAAATAACAATATGTTTTAAACGGGGATTTTGGGCTCAGAAGAACATCTAATATGTTGCGTTTTACCGACTGTGCGCGCGACTCTAGTGGATTAAGATCTGAGATCTAATTTATTGAAAAGAACCTTACCGCGAAGTGTAGTCGTGTTGTGTTGTCGTTTTTGCTATAACGTGAAGTTATGTATTTAACAATGCCCGACTCGAAGGACCAATATACTCTATACGTACAAATAACAATTAAAGCGAGGATTACAAAAAGTGTGGGATCGTGGTTAGTTGTGAATGTTTGGATGGATGTTTGTTAGAAGATATCTCTTAAACGGCTGTAATTTGGCATAGATGTAAAATATAGTCAGGAAAGAACGTGGGCTACTAATTAAGTTTTTTATTTCTTTGTGGAAGTAGTCGCGGGTGACAGTTAGTTAATAAAAAGTGTAATAAAAAAAGTGTGAAACAGAAAATTTTCTACTTCAGGGTACGGGAAAATTCGATTCCCTTAACGGACCAAAGATAAGGGAACGGCCTCATCACTATCTTTATCCTGAACCAGTAAAGGACAAAATATTACAATTTACAACAACAACGAAGAAACCAAGCATATTACCGGATCAAATGAACCCTGGCGTTATATTCCGTGTGAGGATGTCAGACGCGATACTCCGTATAAAGCAACGTATGTACGAAGATCCGGAAAGACATATAGAATCTGATATAATATATACAAATCTGATAAAAAAAGTTGTAATGGATGAAATAACTAAATTTCACAATTTATTATTAATGTATAAAACAGATCGAAGTATTAAAGAACACTTAGGAGAATGTGGTGGAAGGATTTATAAGTTTATAAGTTATATGACAATTAAAGTACATATATATTGTTTGTTTGACTCTTTGTGGGTTGATGGCAACCCTTACGTGATAGGGGATGAGTACTCAGTTACCCCAGTGGAAGTACCCCCTATGTTACAATGTGATGCAGCAGAATGTAACTCAATTGTATTTGTCGACTCAATAACGGAACCTAAAGATGTCGAAGAATGATTTGTTCCAAATAAATATTGCAATTATTAAATATAAGTTTTCTTTTATTACTTTAACAAAACTTATCCTATAATATTCCCAAATGCATAACCTATCTACCTATGAAAGTCACGTCAAAATCGGTGCAACCGTTCCGGGAATTACTCGGAACAAACGCATACTTACGGACAGACATAAGACAGACTGTCAACTGTTTTAAAAAAATGTTACGTTTGCAGTAACGCAATATTACATACAGACATTCAAATATTATAATATGTGTAAATAATCTAAAAAAATAATAAGTTATTATAAAATTATTGTACAAAAGATTTTATCAAAACAGACTTAATTTGACTTTATAACCATCAAGCTCACTATACGTTGCCACCGAGGGGCTCATAGCCTACCCTAAGTTAAAGGTGATTAGGCCATAGTCAACCACGCTCGCCAAGCGCGGGTTGGTTGACTTCACACATATCTTTGAATTTCTTTTCAGATCGCCGATGCTCTTATCGACTTTATAATATCGATCGATTACATTCGAATATTTTATTAAAATAAAACAAAAGTAACGAACAATTTAATCAAAACACTTCTTCGTTAACTCAAACGCATTTAATAGATATAAACAACAATTAAATAAATCAAACTAATAAAAAAAATCTCAGTAAATAAAACATATGTTTATTATTGAATTAATCATAGCCCGCCATTTTCCCTGTGTTGTGTCGGTATAGTAATCTTCCATTCATTAATATCAGTCATTATATCTAAACACCCCTTACGTACATTCTCTTTTAACAATCCATACTTATTTTACAGTCTGCCTTACCTTTGAAGACGTTCAATTTGATTACTTTCTTGCTTATTTGTAAACTAGGTTAGAATACAATTGCAGTCCATTACTTCCATTCAATTAAATTAACCTATTTAAGGGTACGAAAGGCTGTAAATAAGACGTAATTAGTCTAGTCAAATAAAAGTTACTCACCTTTCAGAAACGACGCAATCGAGTTAGTAGCCGACGTCACAGTCGGCCACGCAGTTCAACTACTTCCGAAGCAACTGAGGTAAATCACAACACTGATCTTTATATTTGAAAATTACAGCTTTTACTTTGTTTCTAACGCGCCTGCTTTTGATCCGTGACACTTAATTATATCTACTATATTATTAGTTTGAATAGCCTGCGCTACAAAGTGCAGCATCAGCGCCAAAATAACTTCTTCTTTTTACGTCCTATAGCCAGTCCATTTATAAGTATGTTGCACCACAAACCCATTTTAACTTTCAATTAAAAACCTTAACGTAAACGTCAAATTCCCTACATGGCGGCTGTTACGTCATTTGACTTTTGTTATTTTGTGAAATTATAAAATTGTGAATGCTATACGAAATTGTTTTATCAAAAATATATTTTAGAATTTACGAGTATTAGTGTCAATTGTTATTTGTCTGTGTTTCAAAGTTTTAATTTTAATTAGATATAATTTGGATATATCCTGTACTACCCCAACAAAATATAATTTGACACTATTTAGTAAACGTGTTTTAACCGTTTAAACGCCGTTGAAGGATATTATGGACGTCCAAGTTATATGTCTTGATTTGTCAAAACGCGCCGTCCGTTATAGTCACGGCATTAAAAGGTTAGTGTTTAAGCTAAAATGTATTTGAAACACTTTTTTAATTAATTTATTGTGAGGTTCCTTATGTTAATAGGTGAAGAACTCTACTAGTACTGAGGTTCCTGTCGCCAGACGCGCTGATCTCTGGGACCTTCACCAGAAAAGATCAAAACGCAAGCGCTATAAGAACAAAAAGGATAGACAGAATTATGAAACTTACGAACCCTCTGTCAAGGTAACTATTTACATCAAACTTCAATTGAACCTAACCTAACCATTGTTTTCCGAGACCAAAATATACGTTTAAAACATATTATCTCAGGTTCGATAAAGTAAATGACAAGGATGACGACATTTTGGTCTCAGAAACCAACAATAAATTATTTTACTGGATGACACTGGCTTTGAACACATTTATAAGGGAATATTCGTGATCGTGTCGCGATAAAATATCATATTGCCATACAACGAAGTGCTTGGCCATACATTGGGAAGGGGATATGACAGAGGAGATAACGCTTAGAAAGGGGAAATATTTTTGTGCGTCCCTTCCTCTATCGATTAAAGTTAGGTAACGCACCAATTGCGGATCTCTGGGCAGCGGTCGCTTTGCCATTTCGGCGAATTTACGTGGTTGCTTGCTCGTTTGTCAACTTATATTGTGCAAGTTGCATAACCATGTTTTTTTTACATTATTTCTGTGTTCCAGGATTGGGAGTCAACATTCGTGGAGATGCCAAAAGACCTGTACCAGGCGCATCTCAGACCTGGTGTCATATTCAGAATACATATGGCTGAAGCTATACTTAAAATGCAGTATAGAAAGTAAGTGAAACACTGCTAATAAAATTCAACTGACTATTTGTGCACAGGCTATAAACCTTGTTATTAGTGCCTATTTGACGTACGGCTCAACAGATCTTGATGAAATTTAACATCAATGTAGAACATAGTCTGGTAGACCACATATGCAACTAATATAGGCCTGCAACGCATCTGCAGTTTTTCTAGTATTGCAGATGTCCATGGGCGTCGTTGAGCACCTCGGTGTTCCCACTGCTCGTTCCCTTTTATCTTATAAATATTTTTTTCTTTAATTTTGTGCTAGCTTAGTCGCGGGCTAGTATATAAATAACCAGCAGTCGTCCGTCCGCGACGAACGAAAAAAAAACTGAAACGGAAGCCTATATGTTCTTCCTGACTATGTTCTATATGTATGACAAATTTCAGCGAGATCCATACAGTCTTTCTGGAGATACATTCAAACAAATAACCATCTAAACCAGTCCTTACCAAAGTGTGCAATAACGTCCCCTTGTGGGAGCTGCAAGTCTCAAGTTGCGGGTTATAGTAAAAGTTTCCTTTACAATTCTCCGTTAATATACATATATATGTCACAATAATTAATTAATTTAATTTGAAGTTATAGTGGTTTTTAAATATGAGAAAATATGGGGGCGCTAAAAAAATATTTATTCTCAAAGTGGGTAGTGGACAAAATAAGTTTGGGAACCACTGATCTAAACTTTCGCATTTATAATATTAGTAAGGTTAGTTAGATTGTATGTTACTTTTATTTGTATCTTTCTCATTAGTTACGGTGAAGACAAGGATGAATCTGTGATAGAGGCCGACGTGGAATACCTTCGTCTGACGAGGAAGGTGATCAACGATGAAATCACAAAGTTCGAAGACTTGAAATGGCTGGTCGGCTGGTTTAGTAACCGTAGCGATCTGATACAAGAACATATGTGTAACACAAGATATTATACTGTAGGTGAGGATTAAATAATGCAATTTATAATTTGGTAAATAAAAAAAAAACAATGATTAAAGCCTTATGACATTCGGGAAAAGAATACGAATCGATTGACACCTCAATCGTCAAAATCGGATCAAAATTTATCGAAAAATCAATTTGGCCATTGAAAAAAAACTGATCCATCCATAATATATATACAAGAATTGCTCATTTAAATATATAAGATAAGTGTTGTAACTCTTTTTCATCTAAAGAATCTTACTAGAAATGTAACTCTTTTCGTCCTAAAGTATCCATTAGAGTTATAACTTATTTCGTCGTGAAAGATCACATAAGAGTTGCAACTCTTTTCGTTCTTAAGAATCGCAGTGAAGGAACTCATTTTAGTTGTAACCCTTTACCTTCCTAATAATACAATAAAGTATGCCACTTTTTCCGTCTTTAATGATCCCTTGAGATGTAACTCTTTTCATTGGATCGATAAATATCATCTTGCAGGCATCCCACCGACAATGTTCACACATCCGGAGGAATATATGAAGCGAGCGTGTCTGTTTGACAACGTGTATTTGGACCACATCCCTTACGTGGTGGGGGAGGATGGATCCCTGATGGCAGCAGTGGCGCCTCCAGTACTACACTGTGATGCTGCTACCTGTACTTCTGTACCATTTATTGATAGGTGAGCGTGAAATAATTAGCATAGCGAAGGAAAAAAGAAATGGCGGCCATTAAATTTCACTTTTTCAGTTATGTATTTGAAAATTCAATTAGTATAGTTATATAAGGGTAGATAATGTTTTAAAATTATATGGAACAATTAACTCTATAACAAAGGGTTGCAGAGACAAAATTTTCTGTATAAAACATATCGTAATCCCGGTCATTATCTTTGACAAAATAGAAATAACAATAAACGGAGTTTTTGGTCTCAGAAACCCACGGTAGGTGTAGAGTTAGTATGAAAAAATTACTGTAATGATCTTCCATAGTGAACAATTAATGCTGCGTAGTAAGTTGAAGAGGCTGTTTCTTAACACTTTCTCATACAAGTGACAAAGATAACTTACTGTTATTTTGGGTCATTACTAAATAACTTCTACGATATGGCACAACAGTTCGGAATAGAAAAGAAATAGACAAAGTAACCAAATAAAATGATACATTATTATAGTATCATTAAACTAGGTGTAGCCACTTTTCACTAACACAGCCGCTACAAAAAGACACGCTAACAACTTATAGTGCAAACGGGTTTAACTTCTATTCCATAGCATGATGTTCGAGGAGAAACTAGCGCGAAGTAACGTGCGTACGGTGACTCGCTGCCAGGCGAGCTGCCGTGCGCATTGCCGCAACGACGCAGATTGCCTCAAGCGTTGCAGCGACAGATGCTTCAGAGCAGACTAGACCCATGTGGAACTCGTGATATTATTCTCAAATACAGATAATAAACAATATATTATGTCTTTTTTGTATCCGACTCAAAGGACCTTTTGAATTGACTTCTCTTAAAAGAACAATTAAGATGTAACTCTTTTCGCTCGATTGTAAAACACTCGGTTTCAAAAATAATACACAAATCGTATAATAAATAATATTTATTTTGACAACATTCAAAAATATGCAATATTTATAATATACAACATTATTGCTACTGTTTACCACATTTCTGAGATGTAAAATCCCAAAGCCCATACCACAAGAACATCTTAAAAAGCCTGTATCGCCTACGTCACAATCCCACTAGTGGGTAACTCTCCGACCTGTCTGTTGGTCTTCTGCCGGCCAGGGCGCTGTGGGGGCACGGTGACCCCATGCTGGCGCTGCAAATGTTTCTTCCAGTAGCAACGCCGCGTAAAGCAAGCGTGACACACGTCGCATTCAAACCTGAGGTCAACCACTCGCATATTTTGTATGTTTTCAAATATCCTGGCGGCTTTTAACTTGGTGTAAGTCGCTGCGCAGGGTGGAGGGGGAGGAGAGCACTGCGCAGCGCGCATGACCTTGAGCCGCCAAAATATTTGAAAAGACTTATAATAAAGACTCAATTACATTTCACCAGCGACCTTTAGATGACATCCGTCTCTTTCCATCCACCGCTCGCATCCATTAGCTAAAAAGAGACAAGCTCACCGTTTTATATCATTATGTGTATCTATATGGCGATTGAGTTTTGTGCGATCATAGAATGTCCTGTCACATAGATGACATGCGTGACGTCGCTCGTGGGCGTGACAGCGGCGAATATGACAGCTGAGATTAGACGACGTATGGTAGGAGGCGGTGCAGTGCTCACACTGGTATAGTTTCACACCTATAAAACGAATGGTTGGTTTTATCTCTGTTGTGTAACTCTTTTCATCGTATAGATATAACTGTTTTCGTTGGATATGTCAATCTCACCTGTATGTATGCGCAAATGTTTGATGAGATCATGCTTATGGCAGGTGCGGTAATCACAGGAGTCGCATGCATACTGCGGCGGCAGATGCGACCGCACGTGAGAGAAATGAGACGCGCGATGTACGAACACTTTGCCGCAAATCTGATACAAACTTATATATCGACCTATCCGATGAAAAAAGTTACATCTCATGGAATATGTATGATTGTATCCATGAGATGTAACTTTTTACGTCACATAATAGGAAAAATTTTACTTTAAAATAAATTCACGTTAGCTAATACCTTAGTTTTAGAACGTAATTTTATTATTAACAGTACCAGGATGACCGAGCTTTGTTTGGAAATTATATTTAAGTACGAATTACTAATAAAATGATGAAATATGAATAATATTTTTCGATCTTACCGATGGAAAAAGTTAAGTTTATGTTTAAGTTGATTATCGATAAAACTCGAATAAAATGACATTTTCTAAAAATGATTCCTAGCTAGATCGATTTATCACCCCCGAAACCCCCTATATACTAAAATTTATGAAAATCGTTGGAGCCGATTCCGAGATTCCAATTATATATATATATATATACAAGAATTGCTCATTTAAAGATATAAGTTAAGATTATAAATGCGAATGTTTAGATGTGTCCAGAACGGCTGGCATAGATTTAGAAGACATAGTATGTAATAATTACCTCACAAATAAAACTTTCTCCTTTATGAGTTTCTTTCTTATGTTTATCAGATTGTTCTTTGCTTGAAAATTTCATTCCGCATGGCTCACAAAATAGTTTGCGAAATTTAAACTTTGTTAATCGTGTTTGACCAGTCTTTTTATATGGACCTCTTTTCTTTCTCACTTTCGTTGTTGCCTCATTTTCTTCTATACTGAAAAACAAGTACTATATTATGGCGGCCGTCTTGGATTTATTTATGGACTAAATTTTGCCTGGGTGGGAGGGAAAGGGGAGTCTTCTTCTACCTTTGTACCCACATCTCATTGCTTTTTTGTTTATATAATCATCTCTCCAAATTAAATCCGTACCATGCTAAACTATTACTCACCAATTTCACTAGGTTCTATATTAAAAAAAAAGTAATTACCAGCCCAATTTTAATTTTATATTGATTCTTGTACTCCTATTCATATCAGGTTCTAATTTAATCTGAACATTATCTCCTGCTTCAAAGTCTTGTTTCAAATCATCCCCATTTTCACTATTTTCTTGTAATATATCTTTTGTATCTTTATTTATATTTTTTAATATCTTTTCAGAGAGTAAACATAGAGTTTTAAAGTTGTATGCTATTGATAAATTATTATGACATATATCACATATTTGAGTTGGCATATAATCTTCTTTTATTATCTGTAATAAAAAATAAAGCAATTATTTCAATGACAACCATAGACAAATTACAATTTACTATAAAACTTTTACAATACCAATTTATCTCACAATATCAACAAAATAACTGAAAAGAAATCAAATATTAATCCTAGATATGCACATCACAATGTTTTCCTTCACTGTACATTCATCATCAGCTCACTGTCCGTCTCCACTAAGGGCCTCGATACTAAGATAGGGGCAACTATGCCATAGTAAAATAAAATGTACACATGATGGGATTTGAACCCAGGACTTATAGATTACAAGTCAAGCCTTAACTACTAAGCTACCGACAATACAAAAAGATAGGGGTACTTAAAATCATCACTGAGCGGTCATAGCCGACACTAAGTTAAGGCTTACTAGCTCTTAGTCAACCACACAGAACCAGGATTGATATATTTGATACCTTTGCAGTTCTAAACTGTAGAGTTTGTTAGATATTGTGGTGATGCAAAACATGAACAAGTAAGCAAATACAAACACCTGTACTCCAGTGCAAAAATAAATTTTCTCAGCTATATCTGAAGTAAATATATCGAATGTATTCGTCTTTCTATCCATACAAACTCTACAGGAATCCATAATTTTTTTTCTTCAAGTTTCATAACATTGTAGATATAAAATATAATAAATATCCTAGCACGATTTATAAAAACTTTTATAAATTAAAATTATAATTTAAACATGACAATGACAATATTTTTTTTTTCAATGTTTTGACAGTTGGTCCATATGTTAGATGACGGAAGTTAACAATGTTACCAACTCTGTAAAATTATAATGATGTAAAAAATGTTAAAAAAAAAACAAATGTTTTACACGTATTGCACTTAATTAAATTATAACTTATTCTTTTAAAGACTGTCTTCTTAGTATTTTTCAACTAGTTTAACTAACTCCGCAGTCTTTTCTTACACAATATTATTAGCCATCCTATTCCTATCACTTTTCCCATACTAAATACGTTCATGCAATTATACGATAATTATCATTTTTAACTTGGCAAACTTAATGATAAGAAAGTTATCGTGCACGTAATTCAGGGTATCAGAATTTTCATTATAAATACGATAAAAGATGGACATAATACACAATATTACTATCACCTTATCACAATTTATCTAATTATTTATTTGTTATTTCATTGATAGGAATATTATAAAAGCCATGAATTAAAAATTACGAGTCCTGATCAAAACAAACTTATTCTTATTAGAATTTTGCAGAGATGTCCTCTTTAATATTCAAATTAATTAATTATATCTTAGCAAATACTACATTTATATCTTTTATAATAAAGTAAGTATTCAAAAAACTATATTGTTATTCGCTATATTTGGGTAATTTGCAATTCATATAGTGTATACGTTACCTTATCTTTTAACGATAAATGTCAAGTGAACGTCATAATCAACTTCAATCGAGTCGACGAAGCGAATGTAAAAGTCGCGTTAAATCCACAAAGGTGATTGTGTTATCCATTTAAATATTGTATTAGTGTTTCTACGTGTTTCAACGGCGGCTAAGAGGTGAGTTACTTTAATTAATCATTTATAGGTTAACCGGAAAGGCACACATGATAAGGTTTATCTTTGATAACTTTTTGAAGCGTCCGATTGTATAAGCCGGTTATGTACACTGATTGCTGGATAAAGATTGTTGGATAATTCATTGTCAGTTAATATGCACAGTCACTGACCGTGATTACTCGTTTTAATACCGTGTAATATTAACAGGACTACATATCAACATGTTTTTTTTTTACTTAAAAGATTTAAACAAATATATTTTTACGATCTTATTACGTTTAAGTTAGTCAAAGAACTTGTTAAAATTATCTAATAAATTTTGATTTGACTATGTAACAATACATATGGCTGATGTAATCTTACTAATACTATTAATATTAATGTTTAGATGCATGGATGTTTGTTTGAAGGTATCTTCAGTACTGCTCCATGGATCTCTATGAAATTTGGCATAGATGTAGGACATAGTCTGGAAGAACACATAGGCTACTAATTAAGATTTTTTAATAACAACACAAAAAGATTTGCGGGTAATGGCTAGTCTGTGAATAATGAAGAAAATTATGAATATTAGTTTTATGGAAAAGTAATCTTATATCTTTAAATGAGCAAAATGTATATATAAAATTGGAATCTCGGAATCGGCTTCAATGATTTTCATAAAATTTTGTATACAGGGGGTTTCGGGGGCGGTAAATCGATCTAGCTAGTAATCATTTTTAGAAAATGTCATTTTATTTGTGTTTTATCGATAATCAACTTAAACTTAAAATCAATTCAAAGCTTGGTCATCCAGGTACTGGTTTTAAAGAGACATGTCTTAAGTCAATAACTATAAAATATGTTGTCCTTCAGTATTTCCAAACCTTAACAACTTAGGATGATTCCATAAATTCCCGCCTTTGTGCATTAAAAAATTTGTTAGTTTATTTTTTGCTTCATCATCAGCTCATTATACATTCCCGTTGATGGGCTCGGAGCCTACCCTAAGTTATGTGACTAGATCATAGTCAATGCTGGCCCAGTGTGATATCACTTGACATCTTTTAATTTCTTCACACATATGAGCAGCATCACAATGTTTTCCTTCACCATAAGAATGTCTAATGTATGTATGTATGGCAAAAACACATTAATACATGGGGGGTTACAAACCCAGGACCAGCAGATTACAAGTCAAGTGTTTAACCCCTTTTTGTTTTGTTAATTGTTTGCTTCCTTGTATTAAAACATATTATTTTTGAAATTCCTTTATTTATAATAACATAAAGTGCCTTTTACATTATCTATTAATTATGAATAAGGGTAAAAACAGACTAGTTTTGAATGACACAATTAAAATTGATACTTCAATTAAAGTATTCTACAAGTGCTTTCTAATCATCTTTTATTATTATACTAGCTGTCATGTGACTCCGTCTGTGCAGAATTGATAAAAAACATAATTAGTACAGTATGTGGTCTTCAAGACTATGTTCTACTTCAATGCCAAATTTCAGCAAGATCTATACAGCCGTTCTGGAGATAACTTCAAACAAACATCCATACATCGAAACATTTATTTTATTAGTAAAAACCAAGTACTCTAATAATTTATTTTGATGACTTTTTAAGTTTTTATGTATGTTTCATTATGAACTGGAGCCTAAAAAATTAAATGAGTTTGTAAAGTTGGGTGTCATGCGATTTTGACAGCGGTTTTTTTTAAGTAATAATTTTAGTCAACCAAGATATCTGATCCGGTGAGAGATTTGCTTCTTTTGTGGTTAGCTCTATCAGAATATGCAAAGCCTAATTAGATAGCCATAATTGATTTTGTGTCATACTTTGACGGTGAATGGGGGGCGCTAGTGAGCTGTCATAACTTAGTTTGACTTAGCCGTGTCAAAGTATAGTTTTTAAATTAACTATTTTCTGTTAGGGATCGTGTTGTCTGTCCCGTTCTCTAGAGGTCGTGGCGACATTGACGCGACATTGCCGAGGTCGCCGGGTTATCTGTCTGGGGTCGGCAGCGTTAAGGCACGCGCGGTACACGACCACTCTGTTACTGTGTGAACTTTTTTTTTATAATTTGACAATGAGTAATGTTTTGTTTTCTTAGTGGCCAGTTTGGAATGTTTTAGGGTTCGGTTATACTGAAGCGACAACTTAGAAAAATTATATATATAGTTTTTTCCTTAGTTTTTTTTGGTGTAACGGAAATAAAACGTAATTGCATTTGTATAATTTATTTTAATATTGTTTCATGTTTTTTTTTATATTCTTCTATACTTCGCTTCAGACTTTGCATTAATTTTACACATTTTTTTCTGTTTTGGAATTTATTTACAAATGTCGTGTACTGCCATCTTACGGAATTTTCTAGAACTTACCATGTTAATAATTGAAATTATAGAATCACGAAAGATGGCGCTTTCAAAAGTCGTCTATTTGTTTTAGGCATTTGTAGATGACACCTTAAAAAAATCTTACTAATATTATGAATGCTAATGTTTTAAGGCTGTATGGATCTTGCTGAAATTTGTCATAGACGTGGAACATAGTTTGGAAGAACACATATACTAGTTATTAAGTTTTTTGACTGCTGGTAAAAGTAAAAATTACAACATACAAAAAGACATGACATTTTTGACTTTGCCATGGCGGTGCTAGTGAGTTATAATTAATTTTGGATTATGTCCACCGGCTCAGATGTCCTTATCGGTCTATAGGATTGTTTTATGTCATATTCTATGCCTAACAAGGTTTTACATATTTTCTGACAGAACCAATCGCGACAAAATCGTTTCTCATCGGTTCAGATAACGTTTTCGCACTGGAATTATTATTTCTTATTGGACTTTGATACTTTGATGCACGTCTTTACGTTATCTGTTTTAAGGCTACCTTTATAAAGACACTATCTGTCGCCCGCGTATCTGTCCGTCTGGAATTGAAAAATAAACTTATTTGCCTATGTATTCTTGTATCGAGATTTATGCATCAGGATATACCTTCGCATTTATAATATTAGTAAGATATCTTTCTAATGTTATAAATGCAAATGTTTAGATGGATGTTTGTTTGACGGTATCTCCGGAACATCTGAACGGATTTTGATGAAATATGACATAGATATAGAATATAGTCTGGAAGATCACATAGGATACTAATTTTGTTTTTTTTTTTAATTTCGCGAGGACGTAGTCGCGGGCGACAACTTTTATACATAAAATATTCACTGAATGTTACTTACATATGAATATTTAAATTAAATATTGTAAGATATTGATAACAAATGTACATTATTATTATAAATTGAGCAATTATGTACATTATTATTAAAAAGTATAATGAAATAAACAATATCATGTAATACGAACAGTCGCCCGCGACCTTGTCAGCGCTGCATTGAAAAAAAAACTTAATTAGTAGCCTATGGAACAATTCCTGCCGTCGAGTTCCGTCATCGGACAACACGACAGACCGCCAGCTTCTATTCACCATCTCGATGGCGGTTTTAGCGAAATTTTATACAGAGGCGTTGTAGACTACGCTACGACTTGGGTCCTTTAAGAAGCCAGTGTATCACCATCTCAAAGGCAACTTATCAGCGGTTCCTCTGGTATTGGTGATGTCCATGGGCATGAACACTTCGGTGTTCCCGCTGCTCGTTTGCCCCCTAATCATGTAAAAAAATGTGTCAGTCCAGACTATTTTATTGAGATACGTTTAGCCGTTTTAGAGATACCTTCTAACAAACATTCATCTGTTTATTAATTTAACTTCTTACTAATATTATAAATGCGAATGTTTGAATGGATGGATGTTTGAAGATGTCTCCGGAACGGCTGCATAGATCTTGATGGAATTTGTTATACATATAGAACATAGGAAGAACACACGCTACTTAATTTTTAATTCCGCGCGGACGGTGTCGCGGGAGACAGCTAGAAATATATATAAAAAAAGCCGTTCTGTATCTTCAAACATACATCTAAACATTCGCATTTATAATATTAGTAATATTTACTTAGTGTTAAGTAATGTATTGCAAAATATATTATATTTTAATTATATAATCATCATTATATCGTTGTCTTCCATGACAATGGTATTTCGACATACGTAATTATATAAGGTTATTAAAATATCTATGTGCGTGTTAAAATCAATGTTTGTATGTGTGATCAGTATCAACAGACTATGATGAGACTTTGATAATGTATAATACGTCAATGTAAAATACTTTAATCTTCTTAATCAATATATATAAAAGAAAGTCGTGTTAGTTACATATTTATAACTCAAGAACGGCTTTACCGATATGCCTGAAAATTGGTGAGAGTAGCTTAGAGCCAGGAGACGGACATAGGATACTATTTATTCATTTGTTTTCGTATTCATGCCTTGAAGAGCTGCTTTTTATTTAACTTACTAATATTATAAATGCCAATGTTTAGATGGATGTGATGTGGATGGATGGGTGTTTAAAGATATCTCTAGAACGGCTGAACGGATCTCGATTAAATTTGGCATACGTATAGAACATAGTCTGAAAGAACACATTGGCTACACTAATTAAGTTTTTATATATACACGCGTACGGAGTGGCGAGCGACAGCTAGTTAATAATATAAATGCGAATGTTTAGATGTATGAATGTTTGTAAGGGTCTTCAAGAACGGCTGTATGGATTTCGTTTAAATTTGTCATAGATGTAGAACGTAGTCTGGAAGAAATAGCTTAAGAAGGCTAATAGATTTTGAGTTATCCTTCAAAAGCCGTAGGTAAAGTAGCTCGCTCTACCACTGTTAATTCCTTCTCAGTTTCAAACAATTCAACGGAATATTGTTTTTATTTTTTGTGTTAGATCATTTGTTAAGTATAGTTGCCTTTAAAAAAAACTTAAATTAATTGCTAGAAAAAAAGTAGACAAAGAATTGTGCACGTGTAAATACAAAAAAACACCTGTATATAAGCGGAGAATAGATGAACTAGCGGTTGCACGCGACTTCCAA